GCCCACATGCCATGAAAGAATAATGGATAAATATTTCACAGGAGCATAATCAGGCAAAAACTGACACTGACTCAAAGAATTGTGGACAGATGTCTAAAAGCTTAGTTGAAGAGGTAGGTTTTAAGAAGCAGCTTAAAAGAGAGAAAACAGAAGGATGGTGTAGGTGGGAATTGAGAATTAAGTGGATGGCTGTCAATGGGTGTACAAATGAAACAGAGGGAAACAAATGAGGTATGAGGTAAGGAAGAGGAATAAAATCAAATGATTGCATGGGATATGCTCCATAAATTTCAGAAAACATAGTGTAGTTTAACAGGATAATTCATTTTCAGTCTCTAAGTTACCATCTTTTTGCCTGCATTAAATTAATGGGCTGGATTTTGCAGCCAAGTGGATGGGGGGATAACAATGCTTACCACTTATCTTGAAAAGAGCTGCCCACAAAGATATAAGAATCTTTGTGGCACTCCTTTCAGTGCCAGAAGAGGCTGACTGAAACATTTATCTGGAAGGTTTCATCTTAATGATTGGAATGATTCTGCAGGGATTTCAACATGACATCAATTTTAATCCATTCAAACCAGACTAAAGTTAATTTTGCATTCTGGGAGGCTTAAGAGGGCTGCTATAAAAAGAGGAACTTAACTGTGAATTTAAAGGTCATGTGTTTAAGCACATGCAAGCTGCCTTTTTTTTGTAATCAGCATATCCCATTCACCAGTTGCAGTATCAAGTGCAAACGTGTTGTAGATTAGACAATGCATCTGTAAACTGTACCATCTGGCTGTGGTGAGTCATCAAATGCTTTGGTTGAATCACATTTCCGTCTCCTTGATAAGAGATTGCAAACTTAGGGTGTGTGTAACCAGCAACCATTGAATGAGTTACTGGGACTGTTAGCCAAACAAAATGGCAAGTTAAGAATAATGAGAATTTAGTAGAATTGAAAAGTAAATCTCAAATTTTGAGATAAGGGTGGTGTGTGTGCAGCTGGTTCACTTAGCCAAACCATAATCAATGAGATCTTGTCACTGCTGATAAACAATGAATAGGTGTTTGACATTAAGTTTCCATTTAAATAACAAAAATCAAGGCCACCATGCAATGGCATTGTCAAGTATGATAAAAGTCTATATAAAAGTACAGTAGTGCACATCCAGTCATTTCCTGTTTTATATTTAAAGGATGTTCTAACTGGGGGACACAAGTATATTAAATTAGCACGGTTGTCTTTGATAGAATTCAGCCCAAGCTGACTGGGCAGCCATTTTTCACCTCTGTTGTGATGCCTACATAAAATAAGTATCTGAACCCAGGTCCATTTGGGCAGAAGCCATAAACTTGCACAACATGGTTACCTCAGAATTGACGTGCATGGTTGATATGAAGTCAGCCTCTTGCGATTAGGGTTAAAGTACATTACAGGTGAAAGACTGAGGGAGCTTTCCTCTGCAGCTAATTGTGTTGGATGATAGGTGCCCAAAGTGGAAAAGTATCCAATTTTGCTGTAATAATATATATTTAATGGTGAGAAATCTTTGGAGCTTTTTTCAAGAAGTAATCTTGATGCCCCTTGGAGAGTGTGTTCCTATTCAAAAAGATTTAGGCAGCTTTTTCAGAAGCAGTTCAAAAAACAACACCACATACAATACCTTCGTAACCAAGATAAATTACAGCACATTTGATTCAGCACCGTCCCAGTGTTACTTTTTAAACTGAAAACAGTATCTAACTCTGCTAATTCTCAGTCTTCAACCTACTTTTCAAGAATATATAGTTCCCTTTTAAAAAGAACGATTCTGCTTCAAAAATGCTTCACCCGGTTAAAATCACTTACAAACTTTTATCGGCCATGATTTACTCAAAAAAAAGCAAGTGTGGGTTTGTAGTTGTGCTTCTCATCGTGTTTTCCTGACCATCAACCAGTGAGTACTCCTGCGTATTAACCGAGGAGGAGGAAAGCAATGTTGCGCCAGGAGGAAACCTCTTGGATCTGAAATGGCCAGTGTCCCATTTAGATGTACTAGTGACGTGTGGACAATTGTACTCTCCCTTATCCCTCGATTCCCTGACAGATCAAAAATCTGTTGATCTATTGCCTTAAATGTATTCAATGATGGAGCATCCGCATCTCTCTGAAGTAATGAATTCAAAAGATTCATAACCCTTTGAGTGAGGTGATTTCTCCCAATCTCAGTCCTAATTGACTGGCTCCTTATCCTATCTGATGTATCTTGCAACACCTGCTCATTTCTGAACATTTAAGATTCAGAGTCCTAAGCTGCAAATTCAGCCAATTTCCACTACAAGGAGTGCCTTTTCCCAAGTCTGATAAATTATACTCTCATCTTTGGCTATCATTTTTCTCAGTTGTAAAGATCCTGGGCTGGTGCAGTGATTAAGGATACTTGGCACAATGCTGAGGGACCAATTAAAATGGTCAGCAGACCAGAGTTCACATAACACTTTGTTGAATGTAACAGCAGAATTTTGAGATATGGGAACTGATGTGTGATCCTGGCTGCACACCACTGAGATTACTGCCCACAAGTTAACCTCTCCTTCTCATGAAAGTCCAGCTTCAAACAATTAAAAGGCACTCAAGTAATTGCACAATGCACTGGGCACATCATAGACCAGTATTTCAAGCATGAGTCAGCCATTGCTCCTGCTTTTAAGTCAAGCAATTGGCATGGTTTGTTCACAATTGGCCACTTACCAAGAAGCAACTACACTTCAAAAATAATTGAGTGCTTTGTAACATACTACACATACAAAAAGCAATACATAGCCATGGTCCGTTTCCACTGGAGTTTAGAAGAATGGTGATCTTAAATACAAATTATCCCGAGTATGGATGCTGAAAGAATGTTTACTCCCCACATCCTTTAAGACGAGAACATGGGGGCACTGTTTAAAAATAAGGAATTTCCCATTTAACATCGAAAGCAGAACTCCCACACACCGCCACCCCCCCACCTCCCCACCTCCCCAGAGGCTGGTTAGTCTGTGGAATTCTCTTTTCAAGACAACAGTGAATGAATAGTGATTAAATAAGACAGAGATGGATAGATTCTTGATTCTAACAAAAGGAGTCAATGGTTACAGGTGGCAGCTGGAAAAGTGGGTTGAGGCCACAATCAGATCAGACATAATCTTAATTAGTGACAGAGCAGGGTAAAGGGGCCATACGGCCTACTCTCATTGCAAACTTGGGAGTGACAGAATTACAAACACACAAGTTCTTTTACTAAAGTGCAAAAGTAGGAGAAACAATAATCTCATGATCTCGATTAGTGCATATCATCCTAGTTCAACTCCATTTTAAAAATTTTTATCTATTATTGCCGCACGTACTGAGATAGAGTGAAAAGTACTGTTTTGCGTGCTAACCAGACAAATTATAAGATATATCAGGGTGAAGAACAGAATACAGAATATAATGTTAGAGCTACACAGGCATGCACGATTTTCTCAAACTGGGGAAGTGGTTCCTTCGTGTTTTGCTAGATTGTCTTAAAAGGAAAGTGAGGATGCAATTAAACTTGACGTCTGCCCGTATTCCAAAGATGGCTGAGGGCAGGGCAGCTAAAATGTGTTTTTTTTTTCCTCCTTCATATAATTTAAGTGAGAATGAACTGCACTCTGATTTTTCAGGAAGTGTTCCAAATTGGAATGTGCAAGTGGAGAATGCACCTTGAAATCCAACCATGGCTTTTAGTTGGGTATATTATGATTCCACAGCTGAAGGAACACTTCTAGAGTAAAGTGATAGTGTGAAAGCATGTTACTTGACTTTAGTGAGCAATGTTATTGCAAGTGGTCACTGTTTATTACAGAATATTTTGGTCTGGCGTATTCTCAACTTCTTGGACATGGTAAGGTCACTAAATTTTTTTTTGTACGGAAGCAGTACATGCAGTCCTGGAGCTGGCAATTAGAACACTGACGAGAACCCTCCAAATTATCTAGAGGTACACTTTTTGGATATGCATCATTCAGAGTGAAAGAAGGCCACCCTACTACCAGAACACATCCACATCTATGTCAGTAAATCTATGGCCTCTATACCCTGCTGCATCTCATGGATTCATGCTTGCCTACTATGCATCAGTGCAGTAGAGCTTTGCAATCAGTATGAAAAAATAATTCTACGTGCTATATTCTGAACCTATGGATCACACTGGTTTGAGAAATTACAAACTTAAAGCTTAAAACTACATCTCACCACCAGAGAAGTAAACCTCCAAATCATAAGTTTCGAATACCTGCAGCTCATCTACATCATGCAAACCACAATGTTGCTGGAAATTATGTTCAATCAAGCTGATGACCTACGACACAGAATATGGAGTACATCTACTTGCAAAAAGATGGAATGAGCCAAATGTGAAAGAATCACGCTAAAGCATTCAGAGATTGAAAAACATGCATTGCATTAAGTGTTCCAGTTAAAAATGGACAATGGAAAGGTGATAGGGGAAACAAACACTCAAAGGATGGTTACTAGTCTTACATGGCGAAAATCATCAAAAAGAGTAAAAATTCATACTGCAACTTTTGCAAACAAACCATTTTACCAACATAACGGTGCATTTAACAAATTAAATAATTTTGTTTTACAATGTATATCCTTCATCAGTTTATACCGCACAGAACAAACTGCACATAAAATGGCTGGAAACTAAATGTGGAGTTAAGATTCTACATTCTACTTTTGCTAGTTGTGTAATATGATTTGAACTTTATTTTTACAAGCTGGCTGTGGCACAAACTTTCAATCTTCCTTCAATGGGGATCACAGCAGAGTAATCTACTGAATATAACAAGTGTGTACTAATGGTTCTTTTTTTCTCAGCTGCTAGCATCATGTACTAGTACAAGCATTTGTTCCATTTACAACAATTGCCCAACTCAAAAGGATTTCTTTAAATTCTATTAAAGACAGAATTTCTGGGCAAAAATTAACATACTTCAGGTAACACAGCAAGTCACAAGCATTTAGGTTTGGGTTATGTTTATTTGTTCCTTTTTGGATTTTTTGGGGGAGGGAAGAGGATGAGAACCAATAATACAGAAACTTAGTATCTAAATTGGTAAATGCAAATAAATTTCCAGAAATAATTCTACATGCTATATTCTGAACCTATGGAAATCATGCTGGCTTGAGAAATTACAAATTTAATAAAAATGTACAATAAAAATAAAGATGAAAATTCAACATTCATCTTACTGTTGTCTATATTTTTAATTTTTACAGAAATGTTTGCAACTCAGTTATTTCCATGCAGAGATTTCTAATCTTAAATTTTAAACAAATTAAACATAGAATTTAAGACATCTTGGAGCATTTCCAAAATCAGCTTTGAAATGAATTCTAAATTGTTCGAAGGTTTATTTAATGGGAAGTTAAGCATCACTAAAATGTACCAATTCCTATATATAGTGAATGCTCTTTTCAAAACAAGCCAATTCTAAAGACAAGAAAATGGGAAAAGCATTAGGACAAGGTGATTTTCATTGTACACAATTAACTATAGTGCCAAACATGAAGTTAGCTTCAAAATGCCCCAAAATTCATTTTAAAGTCACAATGAAACTATAAAATTAAAATAAATACAGAAAAAATCTTACATCTGCTAAAATAAATAATGTATCTGAACACTTTACTATGGAAAATGCATACCAGAAAGTTACAAGTACTGACAGCTTTTCAAACAGGGAACAACTGCTAGTACAGTGATGCTGGCTAAGTTCACGTCCATGCTGTGAAGCACTGAAGGTGGCTCAAGGTCAGCCACTCATTGCCGTTACCTTGAGGTAGATAACACATGCGTACCATGTTCTGCATTCATTTGCTGGTTTTGCTGGCATCACATGTTTAAGAAACATTTAAGCTATCAGAAAATGTCTAATGTACTGCCGGGGAGAAACAAACGCACTTTACTGCTTGGACTTAAACACTTTTAATTTGATTTCAAATGAATTTTTAAAAATCTCATGCAAATATATTTCAACCATGTATTTGCCAAAATGGAAACAATTCCATTTGCAAAACAAGTAGACGGTGCTTGGTGGTTTTTTTTAATTTCACCAATAAAATATGTCCACTTGGCCTAGTGCATTTTCACACCACTGTTTCATAGTCACAATTTTCTGCATTAGTCTTTTTTGTCTTAATGTACATATTTTAAACCGTGTGCAAATGACATAAGTTTACAAAAAATTAAAATGCAATGTCAAAATAATTTGACGTGTAAAAATGGTAAACCATTCAAACCAAAAGGAGCACAGTTTGAACTTACAAAAATAAGATTCCAGAATTAAGAAAACAAGACAAATGCACATAGTAAAGTATACAAAACAAATGTCTGCTGAGTGTTCTATTCAGTTCAAATGTTTCAAGATGCTACTATAGGTCTTATGAGGAATCTGAGGAGACAGTTTTGCAGCGGCAGGTGCTAAAGTGGTCTGAATCGCTTTAGATTTCAGTGGTGAACTGACAGGATTGTCAAACTGGGGAATACCAATGGACTCCAACTGCTTGCTGAATGGGATCTCCCCATTCCTGCTCACCTCTTTCGCACACTCATCACTAATTCTTTCCCCCAGTTTCCTGTCACTTGCCGGCTCAGATTCTGCGATTTCTACATCATCTTTTTTGTTGAATAACTTGTCTAAATAACTAGTGAATGTACTTTTTTCTAGCTGCTCATCCTTCCTGTTGTCCCAACAAACATCTTCATCTAGGTGAATTAGAAAACCTTCCTCTTCACCATCGCTTCCATCAATTGCAAATTGGCAATCCCATGGATTCTGACTTCGATATTCCAGTTGAGCCAAATTGGCCATTCCTTTCTCCTCCTTCTCCTGACTGACGGACTTGCAATTTGACATTGAACTTTTCAGGTCCAATTTGGATACTGAACTGTTCAAGTCATTCAGCTTATCTATATCACAAGTCTCAGGCTGCAAACTAAGCTTGATGGTGCTTGCCATGAAAGAATCAAAGTCAAACCCCCGAATCTTCTCTTTGCCCTTCTCAGCAATCTGGTGTGTTGCCTCCACCAAAGCTAACTGTGCTTTCACCAGTCCATTCTTTTCACACTTTGACTTGCCTTTTTTATCTGGCTTATCTCTGCTCTGCTCTTTCCAGTTAGATAGGTCTATAATAAGTTTGGGCTCATAGTAATGATTCACTTCACTCTCCCTCCACACCAAGTTATCCAAGTAGGATGGTGACCCCACTTTATAATTACAGGTGTGGCCACATTCTAGATCACAGTATTTGTTTTCATGGTGATCTGAATGTGGCCAAGAATGTTCAGTGGAAAAGTTCAAGTCAAATGCAGGATCCTCCAAATACTTTTCACGTTCTCCATCTAAATACTTGCGAGGGTCCACTTGTACCTCATCTTCTTCAGTCATGTCAGACATTGCTCGTGGATCTCGTTGAACATCATCTGCCTCAAAGTTACTGTGCAAAGGCCAGTCATGGTCTGACAATTCACTTTCTTGGTATCTGGAATAAACAATTTAAGCAATGGATATTCAGGACATCAGGTATAATTTCAACACCTTAGAATGATTCCAAAGTTGAAACACCACAGACCACTTTAACTTACATTAATACACATTGCATAGTTTTTTTTAAAATCACATATGCAAAGACATAAGTTGGAAACTCATAACTTCATCTTTGGATCTAACTCTCTCTGGATAAAAGGGACAAATGATCCTTTCTTGGATTAAAAACAAGGTTGCTGGAAAAGCTCAGCAGGTCTGGCAGCATCTGTGAAGGAAAAAACAGAGTTAACGTTTCGGGTCTGGTGACTGAACTGTTCAGGAAGGGTCACTGGACCCAAAACGTTAACTCTGTATTTTCTCTCACAGATGCTGCCAGATCTGCTGAGCTTTTCCAGCAACTTTGTTTTTGCTCCTGATTTACAGCATACGCAGTTCTTTTGGTTTTTATCCTTTCTTGGATACCTACTAAAATTAGGAAGTCTCAATTCTGTTAAACATGGAAGTAGCAATTCAAGATTTAGCACTGGTGGATCACTTTTTAAAAATGTAATTTATTCTATTTGGGCAGCAAGCCAGGGCAATAATGTTTCCACGATGAAATACAGGGAGAATCTTTATGCCATCTTAGGAAACAGTACATATCTAGTAAGCACTAAACCTCCATGGAAGAAACAAAAACTTCAAAGATGTTTGATTCCTTGCCATAAAGCAAGTATATTGCTAATCTTTGGCGTTTATTCCCCAGCAAGCCGTGGAAGCTAGGTCATTGAATATAATCAAGGCTAAGTTAAGACAGCTTCTTGATTCACAAACGAGTCAAGGGTTAGGAGGGAGACAAGAAATTCAAGTTAAGGCTGTAATCAGAACAACCACATCTTTACTGAATGGCAGAAAAGGTTCAAGCAGTTAAATGATCTATGCCAGCTCCTTACCTCTTACATTATGTTCTTAATCTTAAAAAGGGGCATTATTTTCAAACGTTGCAGAGAAACACCAGTATACCCAAACTAAATAATCCTCTAAAATAAAACAAAGCCAAAGACAATAAAGCTACTTGTTTTGGTTATATCTAAAAGTAACCCATTTTCAATCTAATTATTGGATGCGTTTATCAAAACAAAACCTTAGGACAATATTTTACCAAACACAAGATAAATAATGTATTAGAAATGAATTAATTACCTGTCCCAGTTGTAAATATGGCTGTGACTTTCATCCATTAGCAAAATCTCATCAACTTCATCCTCAATGTGAAAGGGGTGGGTAGATGTGGGTTCATCCAAAGGGAAGGAATAAATACTCATGTACGGATGGGCCAACGCTTCAGCCGCTGTCAGTCTGTCCATTGGATTGAAGGTCAAAATTTGTTCCAAAAAATCCAATGCTAAGTTTTAAAAGAAAAATAGATTTTTATAGAAGCCTTTCAACTTTTCCTTGCGCTCCAACTCTGCAAATATATTTATCCTATTAATCTCCTGTCTGAACACTAACAAATAATTGGAACATCCAATAATTTCCAACACTAGTGATAGCAGGAAGACCATCTCTTCCTGAACTTCACCAATCTAATTCGAAATGAATGTTAAAAAGCAAGATCCTGGTTTTCCCTTCAGGTTTCCCCTCCCTTCTGTTTTGGGCACACAGTGCATCCAAAATTAGGAAACAAGCTGATGGATTGTTACGGTATCTTTCCAGGTCATTTATATAATGCAATTTAGAAGACAATTTATTTTGTACTGATGTAATCAACTCAACAAACAACTGAAATAAATCTGTATTCTCTTTGAACGAATTCAAAGTTAAGATGAAAAGTTACAGATTATTAAGTACCTTCAGCACATACACCAGGGAGTAGCTGTGGCAACGGATTGTGGGGTTCTGTCATGTCATTTTGTATATAAACTGGAATCACACCCAATAACTCCTGAAGGTCTTCTTCATGGATTACAGGGATGGAATTAAGAATCAACTGCATTTGCTCCAGCTCATGAGCACCTAAACAAAGATTTTAAAAGAAAACCTTGAATATTTGAAGGAATAATCCATTAACAAGCTCACCAGAACATCAGTTCCACAAGTGTAGGAATCAAGAAAAAAGGAATTACATACTTAAGAGTCAAATAGCTTTGAATCATTCCATTAAATTTTACAGTATGAAATATCTCAGCTGTACAAGTGAAGTATTACATAATACACAGTAGAAATGCTTAAATCACTAACATGAGCATTTAGAAAAGTAATTGCTTACTTCAAAGCAAAGCTGTTTCGTGCCATCTAAAATACTGGGCAATAACCATCTCAGTAATTCAGCAACACTGACCTGCAAAAAGTGTTTTCCCAGTCAGCATTTCAGCAAAGATGCAGCCAGCAGCCCACATGTCAATGGCTTTGGTGTAGTTGTTGGGAGAAAGGAGAAGACGTGGAGATCTGTACCACTTAGTAACCAGTCCTTCAGACAGATAGCCCTAGAAAAGAAGTCATATTTTTTTTCCCTCTAAAGAACCGTTGTACATCAAGTCATTTATATTCCAAAACAGAAAAACAATGTGTACATGCACCACTTAAATGCATTTGGCTGGTTTACAGATCTTCTTTATTATCCACTCCTGTAAAACGTTAGTTAAGACATGCGGCAATCTGGAAGTTGACTTTTTGGAAACTGCTCATGTTTTACAAGAGAAACCACTGATTCACTTGATCAAACTTGTTGGGAATATGCTTACATTATCGGTCTATCACAAATATTTAAAAAGTGTAAATTGTCAGCAAGCATTATGAGCCTTTATTTACTCCACTGTCATGAATGACCAGATCAGTGCTGTGAGATTCTCTTCCAGAGACGCTACGATATGAAAAAAATGCTATCCAATCCAATAAATATAGTATACACTGTTCTTTCATTACTTGAACTATATAAAATTCAAGTTTTGCTTGTTTGTGTGTGTAAACACTTGCTACACTCAGTCAAAATGCAAGTGACCAGAAAATTCATTCTGGACACTATTCTGACACAACTGAAAAACGTTTAATATTCAGTTCAAAATATTACACAAATTGAAAGGTAGTCAGTTGTGAAAAGAAAAAATTAAAGCATAATTATGGTTCCACCCTATTCAAGATTTTACACAATTTTCTCTTATTACCAGGAGACAGTTAATTCTTCAATAGAAATTGCTTATAATCAACTAGTGGACACCTAGAGAACATATTCACACATCCCAGCTGCAATTTAAAATAGGCCATAACGGAAGTTTTGAATGCAAGTCATCAAAATTAAGTGTATTTTAATTAAGTTTTCTATTATTCATATTAAATCTATATTACAATGCATCCTTCACATCATTCTCTTTGAATTCACTTCATTTACCTTTTTCTACTAACGTGCATTTGCTTCCAAGCTGTAGGGCTAAAGGATCTAGCAATATTTGGCTGTTTAACAATCCACCTGTTAGTACTGTATCTAGAATGAGGCAATAATCCTCAAGGTTGAGCTCTTGAGAAGGACAATTATCCCTCCTGCTTTGGTCAGTAACTATAAAGACTAACTTTTCAGCTATCCCTAGAACAGGTTTATGCGCTTCACCAAAGATCCCACAAACTGAAAAATCATACCCAGGTGATTATGAAGCTTTTAGAAACAAATGTAAGATGATACCGGAGGAGGTATTGCGTTGAAAAAGCAAGCTTACAGCTATTTGCCTGTGTGTAATTTATTTATGCAACTGTACAAAATTTTCTTTGGCACTTTTGTAAATGAAAGTTAAAACAATTATTTAATTAGCAAAAAGCTGGACTTACTCACTTCTGAATCCCAATCACCCAGCATCCATTATTCTACCGTAACTGCAAATACATAATCTATACACTTCCAGAACATAACATCTCCCTCTCCGACAAAACTGCAGGGACACCTGAAAGAAAAACTTGTGGGTGGCCTGCTTCCTGACCTCCACTAGTCTTTCCTAATAAAGTACCAAGTGAACTAAGGTACGCCATGTCCAAGACCTACAGGATTCTAAAACTTTTATGTCTTACAGCAGAGATCAAAAACTGACCATAATTGGAGAATCAAAGAGAGACTTTCTGGCTTTAGCACTCAGCATTCCTGCATCAATGCTCTCCCGGCTAGTACACAGCTGCGACTATGCCTCCAGCCAATATTAACCACAAATACTGGGGGTGTTCTGGTTTTGGCACAAACATAGCCGAATGGCTCTACTCATTGGAACAGCTATTACTCCAAGTTTAGAAAGGTCTACATAAGGAGGATAAAAGGCTGCACACAGTGGTATTTAGACAAAAACAAAAATTTCTGAAAACGCTCAGCTAATCAGATCAGCAATTCCTGCTTCAAGTGAACATACGTCAAATGAGAAAAGGCAGGGCTGGGCTGTGAATAGCAGAATGAGCACTCACCATCAGGTTCACACATGAAGAATGGCCATTTCAGAGCTACTGGAGGGCCACTGCTTGTGGAACCATGTCCTGGCACAAACTGCTGCCTTCAGGAAGGGGAGGGAGAGAGGTCTGGAGAAAACAAAGGGACCCTTGTACGTGGAATGTTTAGGAAAAAAATTAGCCACATGGAAAATCTGTGCATTATCAACATTTACTGAGAAATTTATATTCAAGTGCACATTTAAATAGTCACAATACATAATTACTAACCCTAAAGTAGCAATATGCCAAGAAATGCCCAACTTATTTTGACTATATATTGGGTACCAATTAGTTACTGGAATCTTCAGGAACTAATTGAAAGTTGGCAATTCCATTTTTTCAAAAATTCAGTTGAGGAACTTATTAAAATATTAAAATCAAAGTACACTCAATCAATGGCTCAATGAGGTTATCCTAGAAATTGAGAGCCAGATCTTCTCATCTGTGCTCTTAACTGATCTCAGCCATAGGAACATTGCACAGACAAGTGCCCTTGTCCCTGGATTAGGCAGATGTAAACAAAAATTGCATGTTTCCCACTCTAGATTGCTATCCACCATCCCTCATTGTGACCACTAGCAGTTAAGGGCTGAAATCAGACTCAGTGATCTCTTCACTTGATAGCAAGGCTCCAATGAGCAAATGTTTGCTCATGGAAGGGACTATTAAGCACTGCCCATGAGACTGAACTCCTATGTAGCAAACTGGTGGAAGAAAAAGTTAGGAACTAGTTAGCAATTACTGTTAGGCAATTTGCACGGTAATAAAACACTGGTTTTTTTTTAAAAGACAACTAGTGATTGAAATTATTTTAATGGTACACATTTGGTTACATAAGCATTTACACAAGTATGGAACATGCCACCAATGAGCGCATCAGCCAAATGAATATGAAAACTACAAACCCCAATTGGGGTCTCTAGGTTTAAAATTAAACAAATAACACTGCAACCAAAATGGCTTGTCACAAGGTAAAAGCATACTACCAAGTTTAGGAATATAAAATCTTCTACTCCAACAAAGAAGCTACTTCATTAATAGTAAAACTACATGTGCCTTCCTCGTGACAAGTTGAAATACTAGAGCTAAGAAATCAAATTAAATAAAATCAGACAGACTTACAATGAATGAAAGAAACTAAAAGCACTGATGATTCTACCTTATGAATGCATTCCAGAGCAAAGTAATGGGCATATGAAAAGAATATAAATACAATCAACTGGGAAATAGACTATTAAAGCTTCTGATTCAAAATAGGAAAACCACCTATATCCATTTGTATCAAATAACATGTTAGGCTAAATAGCAAGAAAAGAACGATTTTAAACTCAGCCCAAAATGACCAAACATGTTAATATTGGCTAGCTTTACATGGGCATGCCTGCAAAGAACTGGTTTGGAAAATCATGAAAATCATGTTTAAAATAAATATCTCATTATTTGTGCCAGTCAATTATCTGATGAAAAGTACTTGGAATATAGAAAGTTCTACATTCTTTATTCTTATTGATGCGATTTCAAAGATGCACTTATACACTTGACAACCTATCAACATGTACTCACTGCAAGGCTACACTGTCAAAATCATCTCCCACTTCTGATTGGAAAATTACAGAGGCCTTGAAATTATTCCATCAAGTTGAGTTCACAATACCATAAACCAAAATGAAAAAAAAAATTAACTTCTCCACATGCAAAGCCTGATTAAGGAGAAACCAACATAGTTCCTGGGCGCCAGAACTACCTAATGTGAATAGGCTTGGATTTGTGTAGATCAAAAAAAACCCACAGGTTTAATATTTTGTCACCAGCTGAGCATGTAATTTGTCTCAAATTATCATCACCACACAAATACCACTTCTTGCAAAAGCTGCATATTTATAAAAACATTTAAGAAAAACTGATCTGTGGAATAATAAATCAAACAAATCTAATGTATAAAGTGAATGCTGGCTTTGACAAGCAATACTCGTGTCACTTCAAACTTTACATTCCATTTTTAATGTATTCTCTGGTTCAAAGCAGTTTTCAGTGTTTGAGGGCATTAGTAAATCAGTAAGTTTATGTTTAATTGGACCTTAATTTACTCAATCTCAAGAAATGCTATATTCTAGTAGATAATAAAAATACAGGAATAATAGCAAATGTTAGAAAAGTATGTGTCAGTCAGGTTATAACGTGTGTGTATATGTTGTAAAGAAGACCAGACATTTTTTTCTCCAGGCCCTGTGATGCATCTCCTTTTACTATTTGATAGTTCTAGCTCGAAAAAATCTTGAAAACAAAATAAGCCTCAACAGAAATAACGTTTTATTGAATTTGGTGGCAAACTGAAAGTGTTTTAAAATTCAAGAGGTTAATGCCAAGTATTAACTTATAGACCCAATATACTACCTTTGGGTTGAGGAATCATTTATGTGAAAAATTGTGTAATCCTTTACAATTACAAGGATGCTCCCAAATATTCATTTTGTTGTACAGAACTTATCTTGAAGATGGGGAAGGCACCCGAGTTTAAATAAACCTGGTGAGGTATTTAAATTCGAGCGAATACCAGAGATGAGTGTTACCCAGTAGTTGTTGCCACCCCTTCCCAATTGCTCATTCTTAAGAACAAGATCAATAAAATATTAAAAAAATGCAAACATAAATCTTCATTTGCAAGGAAAATAATAGGTAAAAGAAAGATCACTTTGTTTATAGAAAAGATAGTTGCAAATTATAAAATTTAAAACAGATCAGAGGCTACCTATTCAACTAAAATCAGCAAGACTTAATCTGATTTTCAATTGTAGAAACAGGATTTTTTTTTTTTAAAAATGGAAAGTTAGAAATTCCAAAAAGTCACATTATATTTATGGGAAATTGAACAAGGCAACATGTTATGAAAAAATGAACTGAAAAGTTGGAAAGGGCTCCAAATTTAGGAGCAGGCATTGCCCTAACTGAAAAACATCCCAAGTGGGTTTTGTCTGTGTCTAATAATTGTAGTTCCAAACCTTGTGGTAGTCAGAATGGACAAGAA